TTAGCACTGCCAACATATGCCCACGCAACTTTACCGTTTGTACCTGCTGCTGGGCTGGTCTTGTGTCTCACCAAGATGATTTTGGTGTGCATTAGTAAGCCATCCCGGGTACTGACACAATCGTGCATCAACTCGGTGGGAAATGTCGGGGCGCGCCACCATTTCTCTTGTAAGCATATAGTTCCGGCCGCCTGGTTGGCAGAGGGTCAATTAACCATTACACGACGCTTTGAAGACGTTTGTCTACTGACATTCCGCCCTCCTCGGCTTTTGGTGACAGTCTCGTGAGTTGGGAAATAAATTCTGAAATTATGCTGGAGTTCAGAACGAGCAGAGCTCCGACTTGAACCGATTCCGACATGTTCTATTTTTGAGCCGCGTAGTCCATCATGCCCTGGCATTCGTTAGAAACCTGCACTATTCAACACAGCATTTAGGTTAGCTGTTTAGGCTCAACCTACCCTGACAAGCGCGGTAAATTGCATGGACTAGTTCGTATTTTATAGACCCCAGAGAGGCACACTATGCAGATGTTTAGTATATGCTTGTCCCTCAGAGGGGTGTTAATGCACACACAGCTATGTCGACCTCAACAGGGTGATTCGTGGCTAAGCCAAGAGCTGATATAGTAGTCGCCAGTCCGAAATACCCTGGGTATGACCCGTTATTTTCTACATATGAGGTTCCGATGAGAGTGCTAACGAACCAGTCTGAGAAAGATACTCGCTGTGGTGGCTTCCGGGTCTAGTTACCGCTTATTAGTGATGTAACTTTCCCATGATGCCTTGGAGACGGACATGGAATAGACAAAACCGAAGTTGTCTGTTTCAGAGAAGTCGTATTTTGACAAGCTGTCAATCATGCTGTTGTCAACACCTAGGACCCGGAGGTAATGTTGTAGTTGGGTAAAAAACATCGTTGTCGAAGCTAGGTCGTTTGCGGCCTTGAGAGGCAGGTCAATTAGGAACACCATCTGTGTGTCTGTTAGTCCCGAGAAGATAAAGTATGGTAGCACAGTAGCCATTCTGGAAGGGACGTAAATTTTCCAATACACCTGTCTCACCCCAATCGTATGGGACTAAGTTGCCTGTAGAGATAGCTATCCGCAAGTAGTTTGGATACTTGAGGATCTGTAGTTTTGAATGCATGGATCCAGGGCCACACATAGGCGGAAAGCAGAACCTGCCGTTCTGGGGGGCATTATTGCGCATTTTCTGCTTCTATGATCTTGTCAGCGCAGGGTAACTCCAAAACGTACACCAGATGGCTCCCGCTCGTCCGCTCGTGAACTGACCTCGGTTTCATCAGACGCAAAAGCCGCCAGTAATATTTTGGTACGTGAGACATCAATTTTAGACAGTAGCCAAGCCTCATCCCATTGAAATGAGGAGAACAGGGCAAGCACAAGCTTATCTCTTTGAAGCACTTCCTCTATCTTGATGTCGTCGGGCGACCTATTGCACCCACGAGCCCATGTCCGTTTCACCGTGCCCCTCGGAAAGGGTACCGTAGTCTTAGGTACTGTATGGTTCGTCGCTGACAGTGCCAGTCTTTTCGAACCTGGGGGTTCCAGAGCATTTTCCCCATCACATATAACACGCGCCCGCTTGGTAGCAATTCTTGCGAGTCGTTCCTCTTCCATTTTCTTCCTGTCGAGGGAGCCCAGACTAAACGGCGTTCTAGGCTGTGGTATATCGGAGTGCCGTGTCAAGGCCTCGTTTTTCTGACCAGCCTGGTCTTGAAGTGACAGAGCAACATCATAATTGAGCTGATCGTTCTTCGACTCTTCCTGGGTGGCCATGATTCTAATAAATAGTCAAGAACCGTCAAACAAAGGGGGGATAGCAGACTAGTGTGTGTGCTTTCAAAGGAGAGGGGATGCTCAGTAGAGCTGACGGCATATCATTACGTGAATCCATCTTTCGAGCTTACCTTGGCACGATGGTGAAGATTGCGAAGTGCAGACGCGTTGATGTTTCAGACGCGAGCGATCACGTGATAACGTGTCCCTATGTCGTACTTTCTGCACAAGGAAGCCAGGTGCTCTGGAGGTGTTCGATGCTTTCGTCTGCTTGAGTTATGCGCGGGAAGATCGTCAGATACGATTGCAATTGTTCAACGCTCTCCAGGGGCTGAGGCTTGAGACACGGCAGAGGTCGGAGCGTTGAAAAATTGCAATCGTATCCGAAAACAACCGCGGTCCTTGATCCACACAGTCAGTTCTTTGCAGAGCTGGTCAACTGGTTGGTAAAGTGGCCCTAACTTCTGACCCAGAAGTAAAAAACGATGCGACCTAGATCCAGGTGGTAAGTCAATGACGTACACGCTGGAAAGCACATCCACAGTGACCAATACACACATACTAAGTACTTAACTTAAGTAAGGAGTCCTGAGCTTGCACCATCAGAACTTCTGCGCATCTCAGCTCGGGTACTTTCTGGCATTATTTGGTCGCTAATACGGGGACAGTTGCGGCATAAAAAGTGTCCGAAATTCTATACGATTCAACTATTTCCAGGTACATGGCACCATCTTGCGATGGCGAAGTCTGCACATGACAAGGTGCAACACGTCGCCATAGTCGGGGGCGGCGCAGCAGGTATGGTGAGTACTTCAAGTCCCGGGTAGCGAGAGGTGCACAAGATTCCCGTTGTATTCTTGTATCTCCAAGCAAGTAATGCTAAATATGTGGAGACAGGCTTGCGCGGCAACATTGGCCAATCACCCAGAGAGATATAAAGTGACAATACTTGAGAGAAACGAAGTGCTAGGTGGGCAAGCTACCTCAATACCTCTTGATGAGTCCAAATATGGCGCTAGTTGGATGAACAACGGTGTGCAGGGTGGATCGAAGGTATGTTGCGGATCGGTGTCAGTTGAAGAATTATTGAAGCTGACAAATGATACGAGCTGAAGATATTCAAACACACATTCAACTTCTTCAATGAACAAGGGTTTCCACCCGAAGAAGTACAACTACAAGTGTCGTTTGGCAAAGGTCAGGATGGGTTCTGGACCAACGTGTTTCCTAGTATTCTGGTGCAGCGATACGCCTCTGATATTCGGCGATTCGGACTATTCCTCACAGTCGTTAAATGGGCACTTCCGATCATTGGGATTATTCCCATCTCGATCATGCTGCGAATTTTTCTCTTCAAGAAGGACTTTGGCGACAAAATGGTGTACCCATTGATTGCTCTGTTTCTAGGCACAGGGAATCAAACCGCGAACGTTCCATGTGGTATTGTTGAGCGGCTATTTGACGACCCAAACATGAAACTCTGGGACTATGACAACAATACCTTACTTCCAAATCTGCCAACAATGTACACGTTTGACAACTTGCACCGATTCTACGAAACTTGGGGGAAATACTTAGATGGCCGAGGCGTCAATATTCGAACACGGTCTGAAGTGTGCACGGTTCTGTCCAGATCCGAAAAAGGAATTAAGCTCCGTATCAAGGACCATCGTAATGGGGCCGTCACAGACGAAGGATTTGATGACCTTGTGCTCTGCACATTAGCGGATGAGAGTCTCAGGATACTCGGTAAGGAGGCGTCGAGGCGTGAAAGATTCGTCTTAGGGGGGGCTTCGTTTTACAACGACGTGACAGTCACACACAGCGACAAAGCATATTTCGACAAATATTACGAGACTGAATTCCAGCAGCAACTTTGTGCAGTACCGAACACCGAAAGCCAAAGGCAACAGATATCCTTTGCAAGTGGATCTGCCGATTCCAAAGGTTTCCGGCCAATGTATTATACGCACACGTATAATCACAATCCTCGACTCATCGAAATGTCTTTCAATTGCAGCAACTACCAGCATCAACTTGTGAAAGGGCGAGTCAGAGGAAGCGGCCGCTTCAAGCCTGTGTACCAAACCATCTTCCTAGATCAAAATCAAGAGAGCCTTTGGACAATAAACGAAATAAACGAGGCAGAAATCATCAAGCGCAACAGATGGCATCAACTTGGTCACAGGTGGCAACACTACCTTCGAGTCGTCCCCGGTATGATGTTTCTCAACGGAAGAAATAGTACGCTTTTTGCTGGATCATGGACTCTTGTTGTACGTTACCAACTTTCTCATTGGTCATCTTCCTCGAAGATTGACCACTTCATTTAACTTCATCTGCATCCTCCAATATTATATGTGACGACGAGATGCTAACCTAGGAGCAATCCAACAGAATATGCACGAGCTGGCATGCGTGAGTGGAATTGCGGCAGCATATCGTCTTGGCGCGGAATATACGAAGTTCGATGAATTTGCAACCAATTTCTTCGCAAAATATCTTCTGTTGTCACATGGTATGGTATTTTCCAGGGAAGAACGAAATCGGAGCCGACGCAGCACATAGAGGCAACGCAAAACATAACCACGGGGCGAGCAGCCGTCGCAAATAGTCTTGGAATGGAGTAAGTCATGTAATGTTGATGCTATGTGAGGTTTCGTGTCGTTTGATTCCTCACATCGCTTAGAGTTGAAAACAGTAAATACTGTTGCTGCTATCCGTTATATGTGAAGAGTCATTACAAATGTCGCCAGTTATGTGCACAGTCGCAATGTAATTTGTGGGACTGACGTAGGTTGACTCATGGTCATCTATATGTCAATAAATGACCAAACTAAGCTCAAGTTATAGCTATGTTCCCGCATATAACCTACAACCAACTCCCCGAGGCGGCGCCCCAAAGTCTTCACGCTCTCGTAATTGACGGATGTCAAAAATACTTCTCACAGTTGTCATTCCTTCGTCCACGCAAACATGGTAACAAAGACGGATTCAAAGTTGTCTTGCGAACCAGATAAAAAGTATCTGTAGGCCAATAGTAATATGCAAAGCCTTCATTGTGGACAAAGTCGCCACAAAAAAAAAAAAGAAATTTCCCTCCTACAACTCCGGGTTCTGAGATCTACCCAAAGTCCTGGATAGCAAAAATTGACTATGAACCATATAAACTCAGTACCAGTCTGGTGATAATAAAATATCATCTCGAAAAAAAAGCACGGCTCCCAGAGTCCGACCCTGGGGTCATATCTACTTTCAAAATCCGCCGAAGATCATTTTCCATTTCCTCAATGTTGTCTGCGCGAACAGTCTTCGGCCCAGACTCAGTGCCAGTTGACATTGAAGGATTCGCGCTGGCTACGGTCTGCTGTATAAATTTGGTTTCAGTAGCAGTTCGCAAGGGACCAGTAGAGATTAAAGGTTTGCTGCCAAAAAGAAACTTCTTTAATGCTTCTGCCGGATCTTCGACTGGCTCGGACTCGTTGAGGTAACCAGCGGTCTGGCCAGTGCTGCGAGGAGTGTTACTATTTGAGACAGACCGAGCAGCTTTGATTCGTTCTTGGTACGGGGTTGAGAATGCTGGACCAAGCGGTTTGCCTGGTGTGCCATCCAGTTCCAAAAAATCAATGCCACCTGCTTGTTGCCGGAAACAAGTCCGTCTTTGATGCGGCAGACTTGACGGCTTTGGAAGCCCTCCGATGTTACTCGGTTGCGAATGTTGCGGCGACTGAGAAGTACTGGAAGAGTGACTTGGAAGATTCTCTCGAAAATTTCTCTCTTTTTCTTCCCTGTGCGCGCGAAACATGAAGTCTAGCGGTGACTCACTCATCTTAGGCACTGATGATGGTCGAAAAGGTGTAGGTATATCCCCATCAGTTGGGGGTGGTGATGGTTCTTGGAGCGCCCCTTTGCCCGGTGCAGCGGGCGATCCGCTTGAGGACTTGGAGAGGAAGCTTGGAATGGGCAGAGCAGATGGTGCAGGAGATGCATGGAAAGTAGCACCCGCAAATGCGGTATTGATGCCCGGTTTGATCGAAACGGATCGTTGCGGAGGGGTTTGGCGACCGTACCGTGTCGGGTCGGGAGACAGAGGAACATTTTTTGAATTCGCCTTATTCTTTGCCCTACTTTTGCTATTCGAATGCTGCGATGAAGGAAAGTCGGTGTCCGGAGTAGAAGTCTCGCCCGTCTTGTTTGGTGTTTTCGGCATATGAGGCCGCGGAGTTTCCAGCACAGCAACATCGTTTTCAGACGCATATGCCTTATGAGCGGTTGACTTGGTGCTCTGTCTGCTATGTTTCCGACGGACAGGAGTTGTCGTTTGCTGTGAAGTTGTTTCGCTCATTGTGATTACGTCGACGCTAAAATATTGAGTATACCAAGAGGGAGAGATGCGGCTCGGCCATTCGCTGGCAACAGGCTCCCTTGCGCCTGTGTCACCAGAGACGAAATGAAAGAGCGATAGTGAAGAAGCAAGATTATGCCGCCAAGCAATGGGCACTGCGTATTTGACAATGTTCCCCAAGAGCATTGGAAGGAAGACCCTGGCAATGTTGTTCACTTCCGCAACACACCGCCCACCTACCCTGACAGATGGGTAGCAAAATAACCCGTACACTCATGCATACCAGTGGCGTTGCAAGCCTGCACGTTATTTTGCCACCCTTGGCCGAGCCTGAGACGACGAGCGGGGCTAGAACTCGGTGGCGGGGGACACCCGGTAGTTGCATATCCATACGTAAGCCAAAGTGGTTACCTGCATTACTATTTTGGTTTCTGCTGCCAGTCATCACAGGTTGTTCTCGTCAGACCCAATGCTGTATCAGGTATCAGGATTGTCTACAACAACTGAATAGCCACATCTATTTCTATTCAAAGCTTGGACAGCAGAAATTTCTCCTACATTATAATCTTGCTGTAGAAGATCAAGGTTGTGTCTAGTTCCGAGCCTGGGGCTCATGCGCTAACAAGGTAGTCGAGACACCTGACGGTCCCAGCTGTCCTTTATACTTGCGCCGTGACTCGAAAGTTACGGTGTGCGTACTTGCTCCTGCTAAAATGATTGTAGATATTACGTCGCGACGTTTGCTTCTACATCTCTCAGTTCGGGGACCAGTCTAGACTCTGATCATCTCAACTTCGTTTCATCTCAAAACTCCGAAACGAGTGCCCAAGTCACACAACATGGCGGATGTGGACATGAGCGACGCGCCTTCCACATCCAAAAAAGCAGAAATTGCGAACGGGAAAGGCCCTGAAGCCAAGAAAAAGTTCGAGGTTAAAAAGGCAAGCCATCTCTAGTCTGGAAACCTGTTTGAGTAATCGAGTAAGCCTAACTCTGGTTGCTCAATACGCAATAGTGGAACGCTGTTGCACTCTGGGCCTGGGATATCGTCGTTGATAACTGTGCGATTTGCCGTAATCACATCATGGACCTGTGTAAGTTACGTCTGATGCCTTTTGTCTCATAAGTCGAAATGTTTGTTTTTGACATTCGTGATAGGCATAGAGTGTCAAGCCAATCAAGCCTCCGCTACCAGCGAGGAGTGCACAGTGGCTTGGGGAATTTGCAACGTAAGAGCCCATATATCGCACCGAGCACGCAAGCTTCTAACGCGACAGCAGCATGCATTCCATTTCCACTGTATCTCCCGATGGCTCAAGGCTAGATCAGTCTGTCCCCTTGACAATCGTGACTGGGAATTTCAGAAGTATGGCCGTTAACGTGGAACGATGCCACAATCAACGAAGGAAGCGAATTCAGCATTACAGTCGAAGATACGGGATATCGAGATATACGTGGAAAATCGTAGTCTTTGTCAACTCATTACAAGAGTTCTGGAATCTTTCCTTGGTCTGTTATATCCATAGCTTTATGACAACATAGACCTGGCTAGTTTACTGCCAACCAGTGCCAGCAGGCAACCACTTCACAGGATTTTTGTTGTAGAAAGGCCACGGAGGGACAACAAGAATAAAGGTCAAGGCAGTTCCTCCTAACCCAGTGTACATAGCCTTCTGAATGTCCTGGTACAGGTACCCGATATTGAATGCCAGTAACTGGCGTAAAGATGCGTTAGCAAGAATGCAATCGATAGGAAAGAGCTACATCATACTGCAGATAAAGCCAGAAGCAAGGTGGCAACCCCTTCGGCACGTCTCTGTCCGTCGAAGTCCTGTGTGGTCCGCGTGTTAGAAACCAACAATTCGCAAAGATGGATGTGCACATTATGGAGCACGTCGCGCGGGGAACACTGGAGAACGGAATAACACACAATCTGCCCTTCTACGACGTCCCGGACTTTGTCTACAATTTCCTCGGCCATGGTGTATTTTGCTTAAAGGAGCTGCTGAAGCTAGCTATGACAGGAATCGCGTCGTCGGTAACGAAGTCAGGGATCGAGCAACGGGATACCAATACGTTGGGAAGAAGTCTCGCAAGATCAAGGTCTGTTTATCTGTTAGGTATCGATGTCAAAGTCGAACGCACAACGTACCTAGGTAGCATTTACTGGTTTGCAGGCTATGATGACCAGACAGAGATCATGTTTGGAACGGCCACGTCAAGACCTGCGAATGTGGTTGGTTGTCAGGTGTGGGTCTGCTGGAGGGCCAAAGGCAGCAGCACCAAGCACCAAGCGCCAAACTCGACCCCACGCGCAGCAAGTTCACCACAACCGTCCGGACCTAACCGGAACTGGTTCCGCGAATGGCCAGGTGGGCGTATGACCAAGCGACTAAGAGCGCCCCCCAGCAACAGTTAGCGGGAAAACGTAAATTTTCCCTCGTGGTCCTCACTTCAACCGACTACAGTGTTATTCTGCTTCTCGCAGGCGCCTTACGGTCGTCATTTTCGTCGGACTAGTCTCTCGATTACACGTAATTCAACGCTCACGGCAAATTGCATTACCCTCGTCGCAGCGAGTGTCGTTCGCATTCATTGTCAACTCGTTATCGCCAAGTATCTCGCGCAGACGACTCCAAAGTTCTTCTGTGGGAAGCTCCTCGAATACGCAAAGTCGTCATTACCTCTTTACAAACCTTCAAGTTGGCTCAACTCGCCGTAGCAGTCATACTCTCCTCTTCGCTTCTTGGGCCTGGATGCTGGGTCTATAGCGGAGTGAACAAGAAGCCTCCATAACTTGGGCTTTCTCTTTTCTAATTGTTAGCTTTCGACTACTCATCCACCAACATCTCCTACGTCTCTGGCTTGTAAATAGCCACGGCTTTGCTACTATATCACCTCTCGGCGCGCATATGCCGCGCCGAGTTGAGGACTACAAACTTTGCGATTTGTCTTGGCAAAGGCTGTCTGCCTTCTCACTCAATTATGATCAGTTACTCTTGAGCCGTGGTTCCGTTTATCGCTCTTGACCAAGCTTCTCGGACACTGCGACTGGCAACCTCTGTAGAAACAGGCCTATACTTGGGGCGGTATCTACACAAAGAGCACTACTACTAATCGTACGAAATGTCCGACCAAGATGGAATGGTCCCCGACACCGGGTATGATACACCTGTGCCTGAGCTTGACGACCATCGTCATGAGTCCAATGCGCCGCAACGGCTAGAGCGACCACGCCGAGGGACATTTGACTCTCTTTACGGCTCCCGTCAAGTTGATACCGACGCGGGACCTTTTACTCCGGACATCAGGGTTCGAGATTTCGAGGAAGCCATTGTAGATGAAGACGCTCTTGAGGTACCACAGATGGCTAAGCACAGTCGTCGGCTTACAGTTGAGACGACGAACGAGGGCAGATCTAATTCCCCCCCAAATTCGGTGAAAGCCTTCGCCCAAGCCCGACGACGTGAAAGAGATATGTCATTCTCGGAACCAAAGTGCGACCATGAAGAAGGGCATGGACGGGCCATGTCAATATCCAGTCGACGCAGCCACCGAAGCAGGGCTCGAACCGTAGAGAAGGATACGAGAAGTCTGTTGACAGATAAGGCTGCGGAGGAGGATGTCTGCTTCCCATTGCAGGACGGCCATAGAAACCACGACCTTCGAATCGACTTCGACTATTTGGAAAATTTCATCAATGCTGAAAGAGCTGCCCACTTGCACAGTCGACAGCTCCTCGCTGCATTCGAAGACTTACGAATTGACTCTACTGCTAGTCACCGAAACCAGCTACCCACAGTAGATGGCGACATCCTGGACATTCCGTCAGATGAATCTATACAGGAGAAGCGCCCTGCCGAAATCAACTCGAAGAGCACGTCACACCCAATCGATGGTAATCGTTTCAGCTTTTTCTCGTCGGCATGGGAGTCAACAATCCACGCCGCCGAAATGGGCGATCTCGTTCTCCCTGGGGAAGATATCAGGGGGCTCTTTGAGTTACCCCAAAATGAGGCAGATGGTGTCTGGTGGCTGAATGTGAATACAGCATCTAAAGAAGAAGTCCAAGGAATTTGCAAGGCATTTGGAGTCCACCCACTGACCATTGAAGATATCATTACCCAGGAAGCCCGAGAAAAGATCGAGCTCTTCCCGTCGTACTATTTTGCCTGCTTTCGATCATTTAACGTTGCTGAAGAGCCAGATGGTATTGAGTATGAGCCCTTCAACATATATGTTTTGGTATTCCGTGAAGGCACGCTCAGCTTCAGCTTCGCCCCAAACTCGCATGCGTCTCAAGTTCGCAAAAGAATTACAGCTCTCAAGGAGTACGTGTCTCTTAGCAGCGATTGGATATGCTATGCATTAATGTAGGTGCTCATCTTAAAGTTCTACTTGGCCACGGCAATTAGACTGACCAGCATTACCAAACAGTGATAATATTGTTGATTCCTTTGCACCTGCTATCCGCACTATCGAACTCGAAGCAGACGCTATTGAGGACGAGGTGTTTGTAATGCGCCAGGACGACTCGAGTTCGTTCCTTCGCTCCATAGGCCGTGTTCGAAAAAATTGCATGGCTTTAATGCGACTTCTTGGAGGTAAGGCTGATGTCCTGCGAGGGTTTACTAAGCGATGCAATGAAAATTACCAAGTTACACCGCACATGGACATTGGCATATACTTGGGCGATATTCAAGATCATGTTGTTACCATGGCAACAAATCTCGGCCACTTCGAGAAGATGCTGTCGCGAGCACACAGCAACTACCTGGCAACACTATCAATCAACAACATTTCACAAGGAACTGATACGAATCGTGTCTTGAGCAAGATAACGTTTCTTGCATCCGTTCTTGTGCCACTTAACCTCATAAGCGGTGTGTTTGGAATGAATGTTACAGTGCCTTTTCAGAGCACAGGCAGTCTCGCTGCGTTCTTCACTATTATTGGGATCATGGTATTCGTGTGCTCCATGATTCTGGGACTGGCTCGTTGGAAGAGGTACATATGATCTCATGTGCTTTGGTTCACTCGCTTTGTCACGTCACAATTGTGCAAATATGCAACCCGTTTCAACTATATGACGGCCCGCCTGTTGCAGCTCCAGGCGCATTGGACATCTGTTTTGGATAGTCCTGTCCTCTCATTTAATTAGACTGTTTTATCGGGTCCTTTGCATATTGTTGAATGAAGAATCCTCAATGGGCGAGCCTGCGACAAGGCTGCCGGGTATTTTCGAAAATATGTCATGTTCTTTCTCAGATAGTATCATATATCCAAACATCTGACGCCGAACTAGTCCGTACTCGCCAAGTTTACTCCTTGGTCCTCGTTCTCAACTCAACGTTCGGAAATCCACCCAAGGCCTTGGTTGCAAACATATCTCTACGACCAGAATATTTCCGCTGACCCCTTTGAGGGTAACAGAAATTCCCTGTTGGGTTGAATCGGCTCACCATGGCCTGAGACGGTCAAAGACGTAATTTTACCATTAGACAACCGCTTGGAACAGCGAGGATTGAGTGGTGGGGCACCGTTCTTCCTCCGATTGGCCCATCCCCAGCACCTCAGTGTCTACAACCGCGTTGCTGAAATTTCAAGGCATCCCCATCGCGATGTCCTACAAACAACTTCAGCTTCACAGAACTCAACACTGCCGTCATGAACACCGCTCAGGTAGGAGTCGAGAACCTCGACCTTGAAAAACTCAACGACAAAGACAAAGCTGAATTGCGCCAATTCCTGGTCAATGAGCAACAGCGTTCACAGATTCAGTCACGTAAGTGCTCTGCAAATAAAAAGGGCATTCATTAGCCCTGCGATGTATGGCCATGTTGCTCCCAACATCTTCTATTGATCACAAAGCTCCCTCCAACCCCAGTGGCTCAGGCAATTTGTATCTGTATCCTCGCTCTCTGCGCATTTTGCTTATTAAACTTTCACACATATCTTCAGTAACTAATTTGCCGACCGCCGTATAGAGACACATAGCTTGACGCAGATTTGCTGGAAGAAGTGCGTCACTGGAAATATCAAGAGTACCAGACTTGATCGCATAGAGGAGGGATGCTTGGCGAATTGTGTTGATAGATTTCTCGACATGAATTTCCTCACGATGAAACACTTAAATAACATGCGAGCGTCATAACTTCGTGGGTCCGGTCGATTGGCACTGACGTTGACGGGTGGCATATTTACACTAGGTGAAAAGACAAAAATTCATGATACGCGCAAATGATTGAACTACTCTTACGGGTTTCCTGTTAGTGAGCCTTGCAGCGTAGTACCTGCTGTCTTGACGAGTAGGTTTAAGTGATGAACGGTCAGATATTGGATTCATCACTGATTCCCAATTGTAAAATGACAGGTTTTAAATGCGCCGTTTCGTATGTGCCTTCTTTGACACTGACTTGACCAAATCCACGCAAACCAAACACGACTTAAGGCCGTCTTTAAACAAGAGAAAGTTTGTTGGCGGCAATATCCAAGGCATCAACGTCGGGAGTAAGACGAGCGTAGGCTTTCTTGGAGCCATCGGGGCTATTTTCCATGAATATATTAGTCAGATTGCTGTTGAGCCCAGTATATTTCTAGGAAGGGCTGCGCGGGCCAGGAGTCAAACGTACCGAATAAGTGTATTGATTTTCACGGTGTCGATATCGTACAGCTTCTTGAGGGCAAGCTTGATTTGAGCCTTGTTGGCCTTCACATCAACGATAAAGACGAGAGTATTATTCTCCTCCATCTTCTTCATGGCGCTCTCCGTGTTGAGAGGATGGATGACGATCTTATGCTCATCAAGACGCGGCTGGTGAGGGATCGACTTGCGAGGGTACTTTGGAGCTCTTGAAAGCACCAGGGTCTTGGGCTGATGGAAAGAGGTGCTCGTTCGGACCTTACGCTGCTTATGAGTGTGAGTCTGTACCATGTACGTGTTAGCCGACATGGTGTTTCTGGTTGTTTGTACGATAGAAATAGACCTACCCCCTTCAAAGCAGCCTTAGCAGCAGCATTGGCTTGCTTGGAGCCCTTCGAGGCGGCTGTATAGAAAAGTGCATCAGCAATCGCTCTTTTTTAAGAACTCGCAAAATCTGCTGCTGCATGATGCCGAGAACGAGTCCAAAAGGGAGTTTCAATCGTCGGTTGCATTGTTGCGCGAGATCCAGTCTCAACCCGTACCTTTCTTTCCTTCTTTACCGGCAGCCATTTTGTTGGTTCAACGTCGACGGAGGTGGTGAATTGTATACCGCGCGTTGAAAGTTGGGGGGATTTTACCAAGGCAATTAACTATGGGCGTGTGGCCAAATTGAACAAGAATTAGGGTTCGGAACGTGGCCCCGCAATTTTTAAGTCACGAGATATGTCACGGGATATCTCTAACTCGACGTTTTGCGGGACATCGGCCAACTGAGATGTTTTGTGATATCAGCGCAGTCTTCCAAATCACAAACTGAAGCCAGCTTTGGTATACTTATCCTCTAAGGTTTGTGACATGCCATAATAACCCGAAAGGTCAAGGAATAAGACCGTAGTCACGAGGCGGATAAATCTTAACTTCAGATTTTGCGTCCCCCTTGACCACAGCCACACATATTCCTTCCCATAGCTCTGGCATTGCATCAACGAGATGAAAACACGACACAAAAGTCTCCACGTTGGTAGGCCACCCACCGCAAAGCTGGTGCGACGATGTATGTCGCGTAAAGCAAGTCGAAATCTCATCAACAAACATCATCAGCTGGAGAAACGGCAGCGCCAAGCGGTAGCGCAGGGAAACAAGCAAGCAGTTGCTGCCATATCAGCGGAAATATCTAACTTTGGAGGCCTGAATCGATACCAGCAAGCCAGTTTGCAAGGCCAGAGCAGTGATCGTGGCGGCGATACTTCGAAAATTTTACTTGAAATGCTTCCCGTGGATCTTATTAAGACGGCTGACAGACGGCCTCGAATGTTGGAGGTTGGATCACTAAGTACCCGAAACGCTTGCTCCGATAGTTGTCTCTTCGACATGGTACATATAGACCTGAATAGCCAGGAGCCGGGTATTCTCAGGCAGGACTTTATGACACGGCCACTCCCAGGGGCGTTGGCGGAGGAGTTTGACATAATATCACTGAGTTTAGTGCTTAATTTTGTTCCTGATGCAGAAGAACGAGGACAAATGCTACGTCGGACGTCATTGTTTTTACGAAAGCCCGCTGATGCAACGCAGAAGTCCAAGGACGGTCCCTTTCCCTCATTATTTCTTGTCCTTCCGCGGAGCTGTCTTGACAACTCCCGTTACTTCTCTGATACAAAACTAGAGTTGCTGATGGGTGCTCTGGGATATACCATGAGTCGTTCTAAGAAGACTCAAAAGCTGGCATATAGTTTGTGGGTCAAGGACCATGTGAGGGCTCGGGAGATTCGCTTCACCAAGGAAGAAATAAACCCTGGGCGTAGGAGGAACAATTTCGCCATCACGTTGACGAGCTTACCTTCCGTTTCCTCCGTCGAATAAGTTTAACCTGTTACGGCCATATATATTCTCTCGTTTTTCGGGAGTGAGAAGCGCCGGCTTTGACCATTTCTCTACTTGTAATGTCAAAATTGCATGTGGCTTGTTGTTTTACGAAGGATCAGACAAATATGTACCTAGGTAGTGATAGACCGGTACAGGAAGGACATGATATCAGGAGGCAACGACTCTTCCACTAGCAAACTCATGGCGTACAACGCAGCCGGTTTAATTTAAAGCAATTTTTCTTGTTTTCCAATTTCCGGCGTCAGTCTTATGTTCTACCCTTCCTATATCTCTGATCTTTAAAAAGCAGTTTATTCACCTTTGATCGATGGCCCCCGCACTATTTTTCCGTCTCTGCCAGTCATCAGTGCGGCCAAAGACTCTTGGATTCTATTTTCTGACTCCGGCGAAAAATCAGATATCGCCATACCTGACAGGCTGTTGTCAGAAGGCAACGGTGCATTCCCTGGACGAGACACAGGAAGACCACACATGCCTGATGCGAGGGCAGCATTGACTTCTTCGAGATTATCACTCAGAAACAACCAGCGTGAGGCTTCGATATCCGGATGGGTGGAGAGAATCACAGCATAACTACTTGCTTCAGTCTTGGGACCAGCATTGACGGTGTCAAACCAGCCAGTTATGAACTGCGACAGGTCTGGCGGCTGAGCAGTCGTATGTGCAAAGAAAAGCTTCTGTGCTGGGACGGATCCTGAGGAGTAGATCATGACCATTTTGCCAGCCCTATGCGCATCAGATATGAAGCAAGCCACGTCAGGGAAGACAGGAGCCTTGAGTTCCCCCGAATCATAGCCTGCCTGCCACAAGAGGCCCTGAAGAGCCTTTAAGTAAGGAGCTTTGACATCCGCCGCCATTAGGTCCCTGACATGACTCTCCAATGCCAAACGGTCATTGCGGTATTCTTCAGGAAATGCATTGCGATATTGTACAAACGCACTTCCATCCCAATGAAGGTCGAGATAACGAGGCAGTACTTTTAATGCATAGGGGAACTGAAAGTCAAAGGAAGTTTCAGCTCCGGGCACTGGGACTAAGAAACGATCGATCCCTGTTGGGACGACATAGACGTAAGACAGAAACGAAGCAGAGCCTTACCAATACATCATGAACAAATGTAATGGGACAGACAGTTCCCTCTGATGTTGATATCAGTACGGAGTATGTTGTGCGCATTTCGGTGCCTATCGCATATGTGACCAGGCCTTGTGGGGGAGCGACTCGCTTACCTATGTCTAGCACAATGACTCTAAAGCCACTAAAGCTTCTGGCAAGCATGACTTTTTTCTTATGAACTGCAATCCAGTAGAAGCTTCGAAAATCCCCCGTCTGGCAGCCCACTCCGGAATGGGACGAGATGGCAATAGCAGAAGGGGAGTGGGGGAATTCGGTTTCAGCACAGCCAGGAAGCTCGAAAATTGGTCTTTGAGTGTTGGCCTTCCCTGCGTCTTTGAGCGCGTCGTATCCCGAAATCAGCTTTTTTTTCCCGCGTTCGCTGTCGAATGTCCGTAGTCCGAACGCCGTCCCGAGGCAATTCTTGATGAAAACGGGAGTAGTGGGCCCAAGCTTTACTAGGTACCTAGGTACTTAGGTAGTCATGTGAGGGGAAAAAGGGGGAGAGAACTTCTTCCTCCTTCGCCTTAAGTTTGTAGTTATGTAGTCAACGCCAGCAACGCCTACATGCGGCAGCATCTAAGGCCAGTCCTCGACAGAAAGCTATAATTGAGCTGTCTTGCTATAATAAATTCAGCTCAGGATATTGAAAAACCAGGGTGGGATAAGCTTGACCTGGGACGCGCATAAAGCCTTGCTTCCTGCCTAGGTAGATAGATACTTGGGTACTTACTTGAGTAAGTATGTGGCTAGCCACTCACTCAGTTGGCAACGGGTGTTTTGATTTTAATTTTGATTTTTCTTGGTCCCGTCTCACAGACACTTGTATGAATGGCCCTGGTTGATATTGAAGAATCAAGGAGTCAGCGGCTAGGGGGACGAGCCACTCGTCGTCGCAAGCGCAACAGGAATTCATGGTCTCCCCCTTGGCCTTCCTCTCCCTATGCATATTTTGCAGCTATGACGAGGCAATTGCAACTAACATGCCCCTGAAATCATACCATATGCACGCAGCACTGAGTCTGAGCCCTCTTAGATGACCTAGGTACTGAAGTAGGCGCATAGGCAGTTACTTAGGCACCCATGCCGGTGTTACCAACAGATACGAACCGTCACTGAGTCCTGGTGACCAGCAGACTTTAGCGCTTGAGCTTCTTTGTCTGTGCGGTGGGCGTGCCTCGTCCGCACTAGTTGCAGAGTGCTCTGTATAAGTACTTATACTAGTAGTAGTTCGGAGCACGTACAGCAAGTATCTGCAGGAGAGAAGGTGGGATGTACATATATGTGCAACGGAGACTTCATGTATGAGTAAAAAATCACACAGCACGACGCAAGATAGTACCTTTGGAGCTTGTACTTTACGGATGGCGGTGTAGGCACACAATCTTGTCTGCATGCGTGACCCAGGGGGGAGGATCTCAGGTGCCGAAGTCTTTACATCAAAGCATGACGAGATCCGCCCTTGTTAGCCCTTGACACCTTGACAGCCGCTCATTGCAAGGGGGCTGACGGTACTTCCTACACTGTGCTGTTGGTCACGCTGGTTGGCCTGTCATTTTGTAGAATATGGGGCCCAACTCGACAGTGAGCCAATTAGCCAATAGCGTACTTGAGTACGTGGCATGATTTTGTTCCAAGACAGCATTTCTGCACTGTGCCACAACAAACACAATCCTCCTCTCCGGAGTACCTACCTAGGAAGCATCTGGAAAATGCCAGTAGTTACACGAGAACGATCACGGTGCCGCCCGTAACGCGTGCGAGTGGACCTCGGTTCATCAATCGACCTTGTGATTTGTAGAGTGCCAGCCAGATACAGAATTCGAACTCAAGCTCAGCATGTTTTGGCCCTGGCGACAAACCAGTATGAGCACCAGTCGAACACTGGTGAGCAGGGCTGATCGATAAGTTACTGTCGTGCCCCACGACGGTTCAATGTTCATTGGTTCCAAAGAAAATATCGTACAGTGTGAGCCTGGCCAAAACATGCCTCGGGTTCGATTCGACGCTCATCTGTTCACCAACCGTGCTGGGTCTGACGTCGCCACCAGTCGACCACGTCCTGATCCCCTCCATCCACTTGGCTGAGAGCAGCCCAGTGCGAAACCGGTCTGTTGACAACGGCGTTACGAGGTGCGACACCGCCATGGATGACCAATCGTACCAGGATGGCGTCCACGCCGGATCCACGCAGTCGTGGCCTGTTCTCGACAACCACCCGTTGAGGTGGATTGGACTGGATTGCTGGGTTCGTTGCCCATCGTACCGCCCATTCCCACTTCATCTTCATAGCTCCCACGTTCCCTCTCACGACCACCGTCTTCGTCCCCCCCACCTCACCCAACTCTCCTCCGCTTAGTGACACACGCCCTCTCCCTTCCACGTCTTTCCATCCCATACCGCCACCCTCTTTCCATCACCGCCTTTCCCTTCTACCTCCTTACCTTCATCACCACCCGCCTTTTGTTGCCATCTCCTATCTATTTCATCTGCTTTTTGTTTGCTCCCCCCTTCCTTCTTTGTCACGACTTCGCTTCCTGCCAACCTACTTCAAGGTAAGGCCTTCTTTCTCTGGACACTGCCTTCCCTCCTTGCCAGGCATCCAACGTCTAGGCCTCCCGTGACACCACTTGTCGGCCTCACTTTGCCTGTGCATACTACTCTCTCGACTCGCCTCCCTCGTCATTCGCCGTCGGGAGAAAGAAGGGCTCCTTCATCTTCTGCTGTTTCATCTTCTCACGTAGCATACGATTCTACTTGTTACATCAAGCCTGCTCGAGGCTCCGGACCTCGGCAACTTGCCAAGCCTACGTTGTCACTTTACGTTTGCATCCGTTCTCGACAAATTTTTGGCCATCGTCTTTACCATCTTCACGCAGCTCTCGCCCGCAGCTAATAGGCATTGAAGCAACTTGCATTTCGCAACCATTGGGTCGTTGGGGTCCTTCCCCTTACGACACGTATACTGCAAAGGCCTTCAAAACAGTCACACCCGCCCTCGCAGCGTCTTCGATAATACCGTAGTGATTTCAGGATCATCCTGGAGGAGCTATCACCACGTTCAAGAATCCACAATTTCTCTGGCCCGACAAGTTCATCACCGACCGCGTTTACAACACAGTCTCGATTTGTGAACGGCTTGACAGCACTTGTAGCCGTCAGACACACCCTGCCTCACTGCCAGGCCCTCTTTCTTTTTCTCTTGATTCCATCACAAACAAGATTCTCCATGTCATAACGAAGTTTTCTCTTGCTTCTGTTGCCAAGTTTGAGCCGTTCGGCTGCCGCCGCCATTCCGCAACGACGATTTGATAATACGCCTTTCTTTTGTCTTCATGTCACCCTGCAAATGAGCTGTTGATTCGATCAAACGAATACTCAAATCCATTATTGCTTGAACCTGTTTGCGCAATTTGTACATTTGCTACGTTCGTCTTTGTCCACTCATCCTACCATCACTGTCTCCGAACAATTTACTCACCTTCGACGACCGTACCTACATCGTGTACACAGCCTAAAGAACGAACAGGCCGTCATCACTACGCCTACCGAAGATTGTATCTGCTTCTCTCGAGCCAGGTAATACCGAACATATCACCAAAGCTCCGTTGTACAACCATACAGCTTGTGTCTTGACGCGCTGCCTTCATCGTTTTTTTTCTTTCTTTTCTGTTTCAAAATTTTCTAGTCGCCCCAACAGCATGGAGTGTCTCAAAGACAAATTTGTTGGTGGTGTTCTTCTAGACGGTCGCTATGAGACAATATCACCTCTCAACCACGGCTCATTCGGTATGGTTTTCATGGCCCGTGACTTGATGACGAGCCAAACGGTGGCCATCAAATGTTTGACAAAGAAAGCTGCATCATGCGAAGCTGGTCTGGATTTTGCAGTCGACGACAAGTCTGAGGAACTCTCCATCCACAACAATCTCGGATCTCATGATAACATCGTCAACTTACTCCACTCTTTTGAGACAGACGCACACATTTACCTCGTTCTGGAGTTTTGTTCTCAAGGCGATTTGTATGAAGCCATCAGAAATGGGCATGGACCTCTACAGACAGAGCATGTTCGGCAATTCATGTTGCAGCTTGTCGATGCTGTCGCATACATTCATTCCAGCGGCGTGTACCACCGCGATATCAAACCTGAAAACATCTTCCTAACGCAAGATGGCATCTTGAAACTCGGTGACTTCGGTCTTGCAACTAAAGATAAATGGTCCTACGAGATGACCGTTGGTAGCGACCGTTACATGGCTCCGGAGCAATTTGACTCTGCTGGCGCGGGATACAGCCCTGCTGCGGCAGATATATGGGCCATCGGTATTTGCTTGCTTAATATCTTGTTCTCCCGCAATCCCTTCACTACGCCAACCGAGGCGGATCCACTTTTCTTGGACTTCACTCGCGACAATCAAAGCCTTTTTGATGTCTTTCCAGCCATGTCACAGGACACATACGAGGTAATCGTCCATTGCATGAATTTCGACCCTAGGAAACGATCGCTAGAGGGTGCTCGAGATGCTCTTCTTCGCGTGGTGAGCTTCACCACTGAAGATGAGTCCCTGGATGACTTCTGTGGAGCAGAGAGGGCAACGGTCGCATCCGCCAACCGTGAGCCTCTGCGTACTCCCTCTATCCAGAACCCTCAGGTTGATAGCCAGACTGGTGCTTTCCCATGGGCGAAGGCTCTTCACGACAGTCCGCACCGCCACACTCGGCATCTCAGTGCTATTCCTGACAATGAGAGTTATACTGAAGACTTGTTTTCCAAATCCAGTGAGACTGTCGATTGGTGCTCGACCAGCATACAGACTCCGTCTATGTCGTCTGTACTGGATTCACAGTTGGATGCTTCGATGAGGTCACTGGCAATCAATAAGCCGTGTCGTCCAAATGGATCTACAGCACCTGGTTCAATGCCCATCACAATGGCCAAACCGCTTGCCTTGTCCATGTCGAGCGTGTTTGGCCGTCGAAAAGATGCAGTGTCTAAGAGCTGGAGTGACATGTGGGACGAAGACGAAGAAGAACAGAGGAAGACTCTTCAGGAATTCAATTCGAGGACGTGGAGCCACGAGAGTAGGACTGAGCCGAGGAGGACTGACAACCAAGAATCTCCTCCAGTTTCGCAAGTCACTATCAAAGGGAACGTGGATGACGACTTGGTCGCCGATGGATTCTTTTTCCAAGACTCCCCTGCCGTCAAACTGGTCTCATCCACGGCACGATATTCGCCTCCGTCTAAACGATTCAACTATGACAAATGGGCGGCATTAGGTGAGCGTCGCAGGGGTCGGGGCTCGGATGTGGAAATGGAGAAGTCGCCGGGCTTGAAGCCGCGACGCCACCTTGGTTTTGGATATAAATCTTATGAAGCCGGCGTTTGGGATCATCCAACGGTCAACAACAATAGCAACACAAAAATGAGTAAGAATTGGGGCAGAGATCGAATCAAAGAATGCCCTTGGAGTAAGGGAAGAGATTGGAACTGGCGCCGAGATCACAATCGCAATGATTTCGGGGACGTTGAGTGGGTTGGTGGTTGGTAAGGGACTCGGTCTCTTCAGCTGTCAATCGTAGCCATGGTCACCTGCGTTTAAGTCGTCAACTCGGCCTACTTGAGAGTCACTGATGCCTTGTCCATCGCACACTTCACCAGCAAAGACTCGAGGAGCCGTTTCTTTATTCATGCGATGCTTCCTCAGACTTGCAGTGCGTTGATCTCGGGCAAATGTGACTATAGTGGTACGCATTGTGAGCATTGTCTCGCTTTCTGAGTATCGAATCGCTCGAATATTTAGTTAGGATAATACCAGAAGTTACCCACTCAGACCTGAAATTGAGACGCCTATCCTTGGTTTTGTGACATGCGAACCATAATGTGAAGGAATTGTGCATTACATATGGTACCTGTACTTCCACCTACTTTGCACGATTAATTCGGCCGAATTGAAGAGGCGGTTGGGCAAAATGGTCAATCTGCCATTCACGTAGCAGTAAAATGCAGCCAGCAGAGAGATCACAGTAACATAGAATTTATCTTGGCCTCCCCTAGCCGCCCACAACTTGTTTGGGCAGGAAGGCCCAAACTGTCCCAGCTAACCCAAAGACGGCGAAAGTAGCCAGCAAGATCCAAGACGCAACGCGTTCCCATTTGGTGATATCCTTTGAATACACCTTGAGGTAGAAACAGAGCGGCAAAATGATAGAGATGAGTGTGCAGAGCGCAGCGCCGAGAAAAGCACAGACCGAGTCAAATGCAGGGAAGATAATAGAAATAGTCAAGAGGACTGAAACGATTAGGACCCGTATCCCCGTTCTCAATATATTTGCAAATATCGATGACCGACCGTTCCACCACGAACGCTGGTGGTGGAGGTTGTGATGGTCTTTCTGAAGACCGCAGACCACATCGGCTGTGGTGATAAGAGGTCTCGCATTCAGTGGAATTTTAGTCAAGGGTATTATTGTGATGAAGATGCACATTAACATAGTCAAGGATTCGGGATAGCCAGATGTTTTGAGAATATTTGATGTGATTGCTTCCCTTATACCGTCGCCAAACATGAGAACACCAACAATGGCTAGACAAGTATCCAGGGCATACTGAAGCATACACAAAGTTAGAAAGTCGTCGTCGTTCACGCTTGAAGAGGTCTTGGTAAATGATGATCGAGGAGTGGAGAGGAGAGTTGGTCATACAGAAACCGAAAAAGTAATGTTGACGCCCTTGTTCCATTTGCGAGGATGTCTCATATCTCGGTATATCTATCGAGATGGTGTGTCAGTCAAGCGATCTTGAACATTTATGCGCCAGAAGCGACTGCATGTCTTACACTCGGGAACACCGAATGGGCACCCCATGGGCTGGCCATGAGTCCGTACGCGAGAGGAAGAGAAAGCCAGTTGGAGGGTAGAAGGTAAGTTGTTGCTGGCTCCCATAACGACCCTGGGCTATGTTGCTTGACTAAGCCGTCAACCAGGACAATGCAGACAACTATTCGTCAAATTAGAAGAGCACCTCGGAACAAAACAAGTTCCCCCACCACAACGAATCGGCCGGACGGAGGAAATGGACCGGTGAGTCTGTGTGACGCAAAGGAAGTTTCTTACTGCAGAATGTAGAAAAAATACCAACAATACTGGTGTAACTGAGCCATCGTAAAGGGAGCATATTTAAAATCAGAACGAGGGCAGCACAAACGCACTTCCAGATCGTCGTGCTAGCCACCGTAGGCATCAAAAGATCCAGGGAGTCGGCAAAAAGAATGACCAGAGCCACACATGCTGCAACAAGTTCGAGAGTGAACAATGCTGAGACAACTACTCGAGCTCGAGCTCCAAATGCAACATACGCCAAATCTGAATAGGTTATTATGCTGGGGTCGTACTCCATACATTTGCCAATCAACTTTCCGGTATGGGCGGTAACAGCAGCAGTTAGTGTCAACATCAAGACGCCAATTATCCATCCGCTCATCTTGAACGCCAATGGTAAGCTGAGCAGGCCGACACCGATGATTGCATTGATGGAGTTGAAAATTGATTGCGGGAGAGTGCTCTGGCCGTCGACGGCCAAAACCACTGTTTCACCTCTCTTTATCTCCTTAACTAGTATAGGCTGTTCCTCGCCGAGGGGAACGTCGTCATCATCCTGGTCGCCTCGGCGATCCCTGAGCACTCCCCAAGTGCTGTCGTAGCTCGCAGACGACCGCGATCTATATCTGCGGACACCCATGGTACCATAACGTGAGCCGTAGCTGCCAATGAGCGAGGGTGTGGCCAGGTGTGGGGGGACGGCGAAGATGCTGGATCGTGCCGACGACGGCCCATCAAGGAGAGCACCTGATGCCATTTCGGCCTCCAATCCTTTGCGTTCTCGTTCCCGAAAATCTTCCCTTGGCGCACCGCCGGCAGGTCCCGCGCCAACGCTGGAGTCGGTAAATGTCTCCTCTCCTGACCCCGAATTCTGGGCGGCTGATGCTTCCAGGTGTTGCCTGAGCAGTCCCGCATGTGGTGGAGGTTGGCTACCAAGGCGGCTGCGGCTGTATTGAATGTCGTCGTTGTTGCATGGTACGGGAAAAGTTTCCGCTTCGGCTTGAAGGATAAAGCTTGGGCGGCGAGGAATGACTTCTGCAAAAGACGCGGCACGTTGCCAGCTCCTGGCAAAGGATCTAAAGCTATTCACTCCTCCTATGTCGGCCATTGCCGCAAGACGGATTGTCAGAGAGGACCTAGTGGCGTGAGGAAGCGGCCGGTAGTTAGCCACGGAGGTTCACGTCAAGATATCGGGAGTTGATGAAAGGGGAAGGGCTGTATCCGGATCAACACACCTCCTGCGGTTGTGATGAGCAAGTGGCTGCTGGCTGCATTCTCCATCGCTGCCGCTGTCAAGCAAAGCTTCTTCCTCGTCCAGAACATCTGAGCACGGGCTTCCTGACGAGGACGCCCGTCCCTCGTATCCATCCCACGAGACGGGGTCTCTCGGCGTTGGAACCATGGCTTCTATGAGAGGCAGCGGGTGTAAGTCACGACAGTCAGAATTCCAAACAGGGCCTGGTGCGCTGCAGCACTGGCGTTGGGCGAGGATGATGCGGACGGGGGACGAAGATGAAAATGGGTGTGTGGGCAAGGAGGACTCGGCGCCAAAAGTGACGGGTTCCGGTATCGTCCAGCCGACTCACTCAGTCAGGTCGAACTGAAATTGACTAGTTTGAAAATCCGTGGGTTGCCATGGCTCGGCATCGGGGTGAATTATAGACTTGGGACTCTGGGGTTTGGATTGACGGAAAGTGAGGGGCAGCAGGATGTGAGAAAGTGCTAGTAGTATCAGGCCATCAAAAGTCATGACAGGGTTGATCATGAACGACAGGTGGACACTGGGGAGATGAAATAAGTACCTACTCGAGTACCTGACATTGTAGTAGTACTAGTAGTAGTTGTAGTACTAAAAAGAAGTTAGGTACTAAGTAGTTAGTGGCAGTATGTACGGAGCAGTAGTCTGGTGTTGTCGAGCTCTCTAGCTACAACTGGTCTGGCACCTAGAACGCGCGTATGTAGCGGCTTCTTATCTCTCCCCGGCCGACGACCTAGGTGCTTCGATTCCTACTTTCTTACTTAGGTAAGTAAGTACCTAGGTAAGTACCTACTTAGTACTTAGGTAAGTACCTACTTAGGTAGGAACCTACCTACGTAAGTACCTAGGTAATTCAGTACTCGTACGGAGGGAGTCAATAAGTTCATGGCGACCACCCGAATAGTAAGGGTCACCGCTCCACCTTTCACAAGGAAGCTGCACGTCGAATGCTGCGCGGCAGTGCTTCGATCCAGCTGGCTTCAGGAGCAGGAATTTCAGCCTGCACCTGTCGTGCTCCGTACTGGGAGGGCGTACTCGATCGTGCGACGGGGGACGGAACGCCGCACCAGCATCTATCCATAGAACTGCTTGCTCTGGCAGCAAACGTGGCGCTGCGACGTGGCCACGCCTACTCCGTACCACGTCGATCCAAACACTAAAGGGCCTGACGCGGCGTTTCGTGACCCCAGCCTACACACTGCAGTCGAAAACCCTCACCGAAAAAAAATCAACCAGCGGATAATCGACTTCCTCCCGGTAGTGCTTGCGGCACGACTACCCTCTACGTAATGACCCATCAGGACCGGTCCTCGGAGCCTCAGCATTTGCACAAACCCCCAACCTCTGGGCGAGCTCAGGCTGCCATCCATCATCACGCACGCACGACGCTGAGCACCCTCCTGCCGCTGCTGGATGCGTTTAACCACCGCCATCACAACCAGCACCGCGCTGCTCACTGGTGGGCAACGTTCGGAGTACTCCGTCGCTCCCTACGGGCCCTCGCCGAGTGCCTGGACCGACCAGCATCAAACAACAGTCGCGATCGCACCGACCGCGCCGTCGTCCAGGCCTCGTGGCTGAATACCCGTGTCCTGCCACGTGCTTTTCTGTGAGCTGAATTCCCTCCATCCCTCCCAGGCGCTCCAATTGACCGTCAAAATGTAGCGCCTTCAGTCAACTTGTTGCGGACAATCAACATGCTCCGTTGGGCCTATTTCTGCTGACCGTGCTTGCCCGGGTCCATGGTTTCTTGTCAAGCATGTTGCCACAGCAGGCACAAGCAGCCAGTGGAAAACTATCGACGGAAAATCCTGCAAGTAATGAGTCGCCGAACCACCCATCTGTCATCGGTACTGAGCACGCAGACAGGGGCGTGGTAATTTCCAGAGAGACCACAACACAATTAGGCGAGGACGCCCTGGACACTCAGTCTAAGAAGCGCAACCGAGACGAGAAGACCAAGTTACATACCATGGCAACATCCCAGAAGGACAGGGAAAGGGACAAGAAACCCAAGACAAAGAAGAAGAGAGCTGACGACGAATTTTCCAGTCTATTTGGCTCCCTGTCGTAGTTTCGTTGGCCTCAGCCCCCGAGGGCCCCCCGAAAATATAGTAGCAACAACCATGGGGAAACCTCTCCGATGGCAACATTGCGGGACAATGCATCTGATTTCTACTAGACCATGTCACATTGGACTCAACAAACAAGATTCAACGTGGAAACTATAGATATAAACAAAGTTGTAGAGCGTAGATACCAAACTACAGAAATAGCTACCTGCAAATTACCTACACACCCATCCCTAAAGCCCGTACAAAGTCTTTTGCGTCTGCGTCTTTTATGCCTGTGCGCCATCCCCAGCGATTTTCCAAAGCCTCTGGGACAAGCGCTGTAGTAACTTCCCGCTCCAGGTATCAAAAGTCAACCCCCTTTCCCGACTGGCCAAAAGTCATGCCAAGTCTTCTTCTCATAATGCCATTGATTGATCAAGACGTGAAGCTTCATGCTGTAGTACCACTTGTACCATTTAAAACGGTCGGTATGACCAGATACGCGCCTTCATGTCGCCGGATCCCGTGGCAAAGTAGGCACCCTGAGGGCTTGGGGCAACCGAGATCACAGAGTTTTTATGTCCCTGTAACATCAGCTGTGTGGTACCAGTGCGCGGGTCCCAAAATTGGACACCTCGATCCTTCGATCCTGACAACACCCAGTTGGCATCGGGTGTCAAAGCAACCGATAGAACGAAGTCACGATGGCCCTCGAATGTTTTAACGCACTTGCCACCTTTAGGGGCAGCACTCTGCCCACCACGGGCAGAACTAAGCTCCCACATTTTGATAGTTCGATCCAAGCTTCCACTGACGAGATCTTTCCCATTGGGCGAGAATGCTACTGAGTAGACAGAGTCCTTGTGACCATCGGGGCCTTCCAGGCGCTCGACCAAAAATCCGGAATGAATGTCCCACACGCGGACGCTCTTATCCAAGGATCCAGCAGCAACATACTGCGTATCGGGAGAGATCGCAACGGTTGTGACCCCATCTTCAATAGTCAGCGTCAGTGTATTGGTGCCTTGCTCTATATCCCACAGCCTAACTGTTCGGTCGCCGCTGCCAGATGCTATCGTTCGGCCGTCGCGTGCAAAATCAAGGGAGTAAATATCTTGTTCGTGGCCGGAAAAGTGGTTGCGAATAGTTCTAGATTGAATGTCCCAGACCTAAAATTGCATTTGTTAGTCTCATCTCTGCCCAGATAGTAATGAAAGACAAATATTGGCTTTCAAGGGCGGACAGTGTTTGCAGGATGACAAACTTACTCGAATCAGCTTATCTTCAGCGCCAGTGGCCAGATAGCGGCCGTCAGGGCTGAAGCAAACGCTTCTAATATACAAATCGGCGGTCATATCTTGCGCATTGTGATCCTCCAATACGCACACCTTCTCACCAGTTTGGACGTCAAAAATTTGAGCGGATCTGTTACAGCCGGTGGCCACGTATTTACCGTCATGGCTAAACCTGACGCAACACACGACACTCTCGTGGGTGAGCGAGTGAACGAGGTCCACGTCCAAGACTCGCTGGACAGCCGGGTTGAAGATGGCATACCAATCACTGCCTGTTTTTTTGTTGTGTGGTGCGACAGCGTCGACTTCGAGATCACCCAATGCATTGCCAACAGGGGGCGCACGAGGACCGCCCATGCGAGCGTGATCAGGCGTTGGGTGGCTAACCTGAGGCGATTGTGCATTGCCTGGATACGGAACAGGAGTATTTATCTGGGGAGTAGCAGGGCCAACGGCAGGTGGCCGCCCAACTCCTCTTCGCCCTGGACCCGGCGAAGCAGTGCTCTGAGGCGGTTGAGGGCCCATGCCGTTGGAGACAGGTCCCTGGGGATAGCCCTGCTGGTAGGGCGGCTGTTGAGCATTAGGATGTGGCGGAGGGACAGGAAGGCCAGGAGGCCCTTGGCCCATCTGGTGCTGAGGTCCCATCTGCTGTTCCTGCGGAGGAGCATGCGGTTGTTGCTGTGGAGGAGCCAGTCCAGCTTGATTCCCGCCGGCCATTATGCCACTAAAGAGGCCATTTCCAGGTGCAAGGGAAGGTGGCTGCTGAGAAGGGCCGGGATGCTGGGGAGGGCCGGGCATGCCTGGTTGCGGACCACCTTTGCGGGCGTTTTCAAGCTGATGACGAAGCATGCTGATTTCTTCCTCATATCTTCGAGGCAGGAGTTTAGAATATGGCGTGAAGACCGAGTGGGGAACACCTACTTTTGCTTCAGGGTCATATGTGTCTGTTCCATTGCATACACCTTTTCCCTGACCAGCTGCATCTCGCTGACTTGGGCAGAAACTGCTCGCACGTACCACCGGGTCAGCCAACCACTATCTGGAAACGAGTCGCGAAAAAGGAATGAAGTGGAATATCGACATACTCTGGTGCTCAAACCCTTCAGTCTGACGAAGTTGGGTTTCAAATTCGGCTCTGATTTGGTCGAGCAGTTCGTTGAGGCGCGCGGAGTTGCCAGGGGGGACGGCCCCCATGCCTCGATGAGAGTACATAGACATATTCAAGCCTGTGGTCCGTGAGCGGCGGTGTCGCAATGTGAATATGGTTCGCAACTTGGTATAGGCGCACTATGTTGAAAAATGCGTGGACGTCGAGGTCGGAATGCGATCGTGGCTAGTGATGCCCTCTATCTTCGAAAACAGCAGTCGGAGCGATGAGGCTGGCGCGCCAACAACGCCGAGAACTGGCGGTAGGGCTCACTGGACGGATAGTGATCACCGAGCTGCCGAATGCAGGATGACACTGCGCGGGAGGCAGGATATATACTTCGTGATGACCGGTCGTGCGTGGCGGCGGGAGATGAACGATGAATGATGGCGACGATGAGGAAGCAAAGTTGAGATGTTTGTTGGAGGTGGGGACAGTGGGAAGGATGAAGGGGGGGAGACGAAGAGGACAAGGTGGTGGAGGAAGCAAAACGCCGCCGGGCATGATGGGATTAGTGGAGATTTGGAAGCGAGACTAGCACCTGGTCCTGTTTCTGTGGGCTGCAAGGCCGGCGGGCGGCGGGCCACTTGCATGGTGGGCGTGGCCTGTGGCGCATGGGGCGTTGAGACTCAGAAGCAGCTGGGGGTGATGAGGCAGGGGTTGAGAGGACGTCAGGGCATGGACATTCAGCAGGGGCCGGTGGTACGTACGGGCTTTAGCGTGCGTGTCTCAAGTCGCTAAAACTTCAAAAGTTACTACTAGTCCTACTACGGAGTACTGTCAAGCTTGATACACCAAGTCGATGACATGCGCTGATGCTGGGCACGCCTGAACCAGAGACCCGGGGTACCCCGTATTTACTTACATACATAGATCCTCTACTTGTGTTTGCATATTTTGTTGACCTCGTATTTTGTGTGGAGGGGACATCTGAAGCGGGCTAAACATAGGTGACTCGGTAGCTAAGCTCCAAGAAACGGCGACATCACAATCCAAGTGAGAGCACGGTAGCTACTGAGTACTTGGTTAGCACCTAGGAGCAGCCTTGATCTACAAGCCAATTGATCTCTGGTGCTCCGTGGATCTCAAGTGCAGGAGCCCATTCGGCTGACCTCGGTCTGAGGACGACGGAAGCATTAGTTCAGCAAGGGCGTGCGCTGGAAATGCTTCCGGGGCGTGGGCCCGGCAAAGCTGTGCTCAACGATGTCCTAGGTGCAAGAGCAACGGGCCGGGCTCGGAATACTACTATCTTGTCCATATGCGCGCGAACCCGTCAACAAACCGGAAGAATATAATTAATTGTACATGGGTCCGAACGGCCATTTAGACATCTGGACATCTGGAGCCTTTGAGGTGGTCCCCAAAGGATCCTGCTAAGTCCTTTGCCTAAAACCACCAGCGCAGAGACTCTTGAGAGGGGACGAGGGTGGGTGTGTGCCGCCGAGTTTTTTATCCTAACAACCCGACCACCGACGACCACCCCCACCCCCTTCTTCCCAAAAAAAGCCCCCATTCCCGGTCAGCCTCCGGTGAGCTGCCGGCGACATGAATTTTTGGCCTGGTGGCACCGTCGATTCCAGGTTTCAATTGGGGCTGGCGCCGTCGTCCCACTGTCAGAAAGTTACAAAGGCACTTAGGCAGACAGGCACTGGACGCTGCAAAAGACGCGTTGAATTTGTGCAATGAATTCAAGTTCTTCCGTACTCGACACTATCAATTTAGTAGTTGTCTTGGTACGTCATGCACTTGAATAGCTTTCCAGGAAACACAGCGAATGAAGACGAGGTCTGTTCCGGGTGGTTGATATGTGCTCGGTCAGACCCGGCTGCGTAGCATTGATCGCTTATAATAGATTTTCTACTCCGTACCGACTGCCGTGGTACCTAAGAACCAGACAGGAGACTCAGCTGTGTGCAAAATTCGAAACTGCCAACTTTACCGAGCACCAGCTGTTGCAGATCCCCGCTGGCCGTGCCGAGTGACCATCTGGCGAGTCAGTCTGGTCTGTGCAAATCGCGACCAATTGCTCACGCCTTTGCTGCGTTGAGCGTACGTACGGCACTGTATATTGGTGCCTTCTCGCGCCTCCTCCTTCTTTGTCTTCGTTGTTTCCGCCGGCTCGGCGGCCTGCTGACATCAGTGTGCCTGTGCCCGCCCTGGTTCCATGTTCCGTTTTATCCCTGCTCACCTGGCCCGGCCTCGTCATCCTTGTCCAATGCATGCACGTCGCTGCGGTGTCGCCACAAGTCTGGTGTGCTCGGAACTACCAAGCACTACGGAGTACGTACTTGTACATACATACAGTCCTGGGTGTGTGATGAGCCATTCATCCAAATTGCTACATGTGTTGCCCTTGCACCGTACCATGTGCAAGGTGAGCGGGCCAGAGACGATGCAGACCTCACGAAGCGGGCTAACCTGTATCGTCGTCTATGCATGCCCGCCGCGCACAGAATAGGGCTCTTCCAGCCTGTATTCTGCGGACAAAGAAGAAAGAAACCCTTGTCAGCTAGCCACCGGCCTCGAAATAGTTAGCCTCATGACTCTGACTCTGCAGGTGAATAAATACAATCTAGTCGAGAAGTCATTTTACCCAATCTCCAGAGATAGAATATTATAATGCTAGATGGATCAGTGATCAGTGATCCACCGCCTGCCAACGGGCTTCTGCGATTTATTACTCAAGTACTGAGCGAGCACCTTTGTTTCCTATAAGTACTTACTTAAGTACTTAGGCACTAGGTTCCTGGTACGCCGAGCGTAGCATGTACTCTGTCTGTAGTTGGTGAGCAGAAAACTACATACAGTACTTGACTTCCAGAACAAGCTGCCTGACTGTTCCAGGTGTCGCAGACATGCAAGTGAAAGGTGGGGCGCTGTTGGTGCCCATGTGGATGCAGCCCAGCGGCATGTGGCTCTCCGTGTCATCTTCGCTTGCGTGCGACGTACGTGCCTGCAAGTACCCAGATAACTAAGTACCTACTCCGTACCTGCACAGGTATTTGAAGTATTCTCCGTACCGCTACGGAGTAACTCGGAATGTTCAATTGATGTGCCATGCGCCAGTACCGCAAACATCTCTATACTAAGTACCTGGGTGCTGTGGCGTCCGTTTCGCCAGAGTTAGCAAACCAAGGGCAGTCAGCCTCCAAATGCCGCACACATAGCACGACCCCCAAACCATATTGGCCGGTCAGCTACCTAAGTACGTACTGCCAAAGCAGAGCTCCCCCTGCCTAAGTACTTAGGTATTTACTTGAGTAAATGTCCTGCATGGCCTCCCTCCCCACCTTCTAACTTACTTGGTGCGTGCACTATGCTGTCGGCACGAGTTCAATTACTCCGCAGACCTTTCCGGAGGGCGAAGTCGAAGTCGGTCGAGAGTCGTGACTTGATCGCCCCATAAATAGATGCCCCTACAATCCAACCCTGTAAATCTGTAAATATAGCCATGAATGACCCACAAAGAAGCTTGTGGGGGTCAGTATGGCCAGGAGCCTCCAGAGTCCGCTGATAAGATTTGCCTCCATGAGTGTGTTTATTCCTACATGGCTAAAGATGATAATCAGGCACTCATATCAATAGAGAAGCTATCCTTTCTATTAGTCACTTAAGAGATCATGATTTAGTAACTTCTCTACCTCTATTTGCTCTGTTTAATTGCGGTTTGCTATTGGCTCTACGCCCTCTAGTATAACTGCGTTGCTTACTTACTTACTTACTGATGGGCCATGGCTAACTACTTATTTAGGGGTTCAGGGCCCGCACACGACGTGCATGCAGACACTTGACAGGCCACAATTCTCAAAGACGCCGCCGCCTTTGTATCCTCACCCATTTGGGTTTCAACATCATGTCCAACACGCCTCAAGGAGCCCAGACAACCGGGTAGATGCATTAAGTAGTTAGGAACTTTAATTTTTATCCTTGATTCCTCCAACAGTACGGAGTAGAGCGCAGAAATCGGTGGGGGCCTTTCACATGTACAGAGCAGGGGGGGGTTATGAGCTGCACAAAACAAGTCAAGCCTGAGAGGAGCGCTCATTAGTCATTACGGAGTCAACGGAGAGTAATGCCCCTGGTGACCAGACCAGTCTTTGCATCATGCCACTCTCTCAAGACGGAACGCCGCCTCCCGGAGAGCATGAACGATGACCATCAACTCATCACCGTCCAATCCAAGCAGAGCAAATATGCGGAGCTTTCGGCGCACGCACTTTTGGATTGGCGGCGGGTTGTTTCACCATTCCAACAATTGGCCAAGGGACGATAAAAGAAAATGTCAGGTCGGGTCCTCATGGACCCTTTTTTTGCCATTCAAACACGTCTGGGAAGTTCCCAATAAAAGTCCAACGCAATCGACTTGCCCTACATGTACGGAGTAGTTAGTAAGTAAGTACCTAGGTACCTAACTTAAGTACTTACTTACTTACTTAGGATGCAGACGTGCCGCAGCTAGGTGGCTAGGTCATTGGGTCTGGTAATTTACTGGCATGTCCCATGACCGCAACGTCTGGTCGGGGTTTGCACTGTGTCAGGCCCCGTTTATTTTTTTCGCCTTGGTGTCGAAACTCCGAGGAGGCGATTTTTCTGGTCGGGGAATCGGCCCACCGGAGGATATTACTACTACTAAGTGACTACACACAGTCGTCCCCCTCTGGCTGTAATAAAAGTTGCAGGCCTCGCACCGTTGGCAATCAACACCACACATGTCGTCCACGTGCACTTTTTGTCGCTACGAATGAACCTCCTGTGCTGCTAAACGAACGACTTGACCGGACAATTCCCCGGCACGGAGACGACAACAAATCCACCCACCGACCCTAAGATCCCCAGAACTTTAATCGTCGCGCTATGGATATCGTGCTCGAGCTAACGGATACCTTCATCGCCGACTACGCCTACGCGTATCTGTATCCATTCCGGCCGGATCTCTACGACTTTCCTCATGGAAATAATGCAAATGCCTCCTCTGCCCATACCCTATCGTCATGGACCTATAAGCCTGCCACCCAGTTCTTGCAAGTTCAGCCGTCCCGGGCTGCATACATGAGCTCCTTGACTCGCGATAACCCCTTTCGGCAGCTGGCTACACTCTTCTTCATTACGTGGTACGAGTTGTATCCCTTGTTCTTGATTTACTCCTGACCCATCCTGCAAAGAACACAACCTCTTGTCCATGATCTAAAGTAGTCTTGCCCCAGGTTCTTCGGCATTCTTGTGTACTTCGTATTTGCGACGCTGTCGTACTATTTGATTTTCGATAAGCGGACGCTGAACCACCCGAAATTTATAAAGAATCAGATTTGGCTCGAGATCAAGCAGGCCAATAAATCGATGCCGTTTATGGCTGTCTGCACCGCACCCCTGTTCTTACTCGAGGTCCGAGGCTTTGGCAATCTTTACGACACGACGGAAGAAGGACCTGGAATGTGGTACAACTTCCTCCAGTTCCCTCTGTTCTTATTCTTTACCGACTTCTGTATTTACTGGATCCATCGATATCTTCATCATCCGTTAATCTACAAGCATCTGCACAAGCCTCACCACAAGTGGATTATGCCCACGCCTTATGCCAGCCATGCTTTCCACCCCTTGGACGGTTTTGCCCAGTCGCTCCCATACCACATTTTCCCATTCATTTTTCCCCTTCAGAAACTGGCCTATGTTGTACTGTTTGTTTTTGTCAACTTTTGGTCTATCCTTATTCACGATGGCGAGTACCTCACCAACAATCCGATAGTTAATGGTGCAGCTTGTCACTCTTTGCACCATTCTCGCTTCGAGGTCAACTATGGGCAATTTTTCACGGCCTTTGACCGTCTTGGTGGTACCTACCGCATGCCCGAAGCTTGGATGTTTGAGAAGGAGAGGAAGATGTCAGAGAAGCAGTGGAAGAAGGAGTCCATGACCGTAGACGAATTCGTCAAGGAAATCGAGGGTCATGACGAGCGTTCTTACGGTCCTGCACAAGACGAAGCGAAGAAGACAAAATGAAGAGAGTGGCTATGTCTCTTGTCCTTGCGTCCCGCAGATGCCTTCGTCGTTCTGCTGATAGTATGGATGGATACTTCTCCCACCACTGCAAATTGATCCATCAGAGTGGTACAACAGAAGGAGTTCGAAGACATAACGGTAAACAGTTTGAGAACTATACATATCTTGGATTCGACACGAGTATAGATATAGACCAATTACGGTGTTAATGCTGAGGCTTGCGGTGGCGTTTCTAATAGGGTTCTTTGGCTTTTCTTCTTTGATTGACAATGTATATTACTATGGCTCAAGATGGACAAACGTGGCGGCAGATGCCCTCGTCATAATCCTAATATGCACACCTTAACTCCTCTGCGCACTCTTCCCAAATAACCAAGGCAATAATTCTGTAAAATGAAAGGATTGATGATTGGAGAGTCAAGGCGAAGGACACGAGGCTTTAAAGAAACTAGGACGATAGAATACATGTATCAAGAAAAAGACTGAAAGAGCAGAAGTGCGAGGAGCGGAAACGACCGAGCGAAAGACGAGAAGGAAAAGCGCAAGGAGAGCGTGGGAGAAACGCAGCGTAGCATATGGACAGGTTTCATCGAAAAACATTGACCTAGCCCATCAGGAAAAGCTGACAAACTTGGGATCCCTAGGTCGTCCGTCGGGACCAATACCGTTTGCTTTGAATCGGTTCTCCATGTAGGTTTTTCGAGCTTGGTCAAACGTCATCCTCCTCTTTTTCATTAGTTTAAGGATGTCAGCCTTGCTTGCATCGTCAAGCCCGGCACGACTATCTCCTGATTCCAGATTACCAGTGAGATCGAAGTTACTGCTTGAGAGGCCTGCATCGATATCGCTTGCAAAGGTGCCAGGCAGCCGGGAGTAGATGTAGTCTGCGCCAGGCAGCCGAATTTCGGGGAGCAAATGCTGCCAATGCGATCGTGTGAGGAAAAGCGCAGTGGCCGCCAAGAGAGAGAGGACAGAAATGCTAAAGAGAATGTATGACATGGTGCGGGCACTGGCAGCTAATGCGCCGACGACTTCCAGCTTTAGTGATACTGCGGTTGATTCTGTTGGTCGCAGCGTTACGGACGGCTCGGAGCGAGCAAAGCGACCCGCACGAGGCAAAAGCGTGCCCTTGACCGGCCGGCTCTTTAAGCGTGATAGAGACGTGGTGATATTGCCATGACAGGCGCGTATACGCCGCCCTGTGATGCTTCTCGAGGCAAGGAGACACTGGCAAGGGAATTTGGAGGACGCACACGTATGTCTTGACGTTGGCTGTCTGTACGGGTTGGCCTGAGCGGGCGGACTCGGACTAGGCACCTGATGAAAGCAAGTACAGTAAACCATGTCTATAACGATCCTGTATCTTAGCGATATTTAGGCTTTTACGATAATTCACAGTTATCTAAGGTTTTTCCCTAGTAAATTGTTAATAGTTACATTACTAATAATATTATTAACTTTTTGCTTAGTTACTATATATTTTAGTGTTTTATTGTTATTAGGCTCTTACTATAAGCGCTAAATTTTGCTGCCTTTAATGCATTTTTCTTTCTTTAACATTACTATAATAACGCCTTTATTTATTACAATATTATAAATTTAACCTCTTTTATTATAATTTCTTAAGTTATATATAAGTAGATGCTAATTAGTTATTAAGAAAGGCAAATTATATAAAAAAAGTATTATAAGAATTCTCTTTAGCAATAGGCATAGCTCTAGCAGTAGGCTTGTAATAAATTTAATTAAAACTTCTCTTAATTTATAATATCTAAGTTAATTAGTATATAATATAATTATATTAATATTAAAAAGCTCTTAAATGCCTAAAAACGCTATTAAGCAAAACATCTATTGCTTAAGTTAGCTCTCTTTAAATTAATAACCTAATTAAATAACCTTAGTTATATTATTACTAGTAAGATTATTGCTAGTCTTGCAAGACAGCTTTAGGAGAAGATAGAAGACTTTAACAGCTTAAAGACCTCTTTATTCTCTTAAGAATAAGTTAATAGCTTTAAATCACGCTTTTATATTAAGAAACATAAATTAACAGCAAAAGTAAGTCTGCTAATACTTTTAATTCCTCTTAAGACCTTGCTGTAATATAAGAAATAAAAAGATAGTACTTAGATAATAATACTTATAATATAGATAAGACTAGGCTCTTTTAGCATAGAAATCCCTTATATATACTGGCAATAAGTCTATAAAAGAGGACTAAGCAAGATAAAGCCTATATTACAGTCTTACCTTATACTAATGCGTCTAGAACTTATTAGCTTAATCTTTAGATTATTAGTAAGTCTAAAAACCTGCAATATTTTAGTAAAAATAACAGCAAAATTGCTACCTTTCTAGTATACTATTAGAGTAACATAAAGAGCTAGATAAACTCTAATATATTCCTTAAATAGCTGCAATAGTTTAATTAATAAATAGGCAGCTATTATATTCTTCTTCTATTAGATAACTTTAGCGCCTACTAATATACTATAAATAAAGCTATTTTTATAGATACTCTTGCTAATATAATAGTTGTTTTTCTTCTAGTAAATACAATAAGCTTATATTAACTAATAGACTAAGGAATTATTAATAATCTTAAGGTCTACTATTAGAAGTAGTAGCTATAGTTTGTAGCTAAATTAGCTTTTTAGAACATTAACTTAATGCCTTAATTAACCTTATTAAAAGCTATTATATAGCTTATATATATATAGTATAATAGTGTAAAAAAAGATACTATTGCTAATTATTAGAGAAAGTTAAAGCTGCTTAGCAATATTTATAGCTGTAAGCGCTAGCTAAAGAATTAGAATAAAAGCTGTTAGTCCCTTCTTGCTATAGCATATAATATTTGCATTTTGTAATGGACTCAAGCTGTAGGCTCGAGTGGGTACAAGGCACTGTGTTAGTGCCTTATTGGGTACGCTTTGGATGCACATTAGACCTATATATATATATAATAGAAGGAAAAGAGGGGATAGAGAGCTTCTTCTTTCCCTCTTTTCTCTCCTTAAGTTTATAGTTAATACTAGTAATGCTTATATGTAGTAGCCTATAAGGCTAGTCCTTAATATACTATAAACTTTATTTTACTATAATAGATAAATACTTTTTAAACTCTACAGAGAGTAACCTACTATTAGCTAGCAATACAATACTATTAAGCACTTAGGCTAAGGTAGCTGCTCTCTAGGAAACTATTAATAACTAGGCATAACTAATTTACAACTTAATATAGTAGTATATTGCATTCTCTAGATTAGCACTTACTATGCTAGACAATCCCTTGCACTCTCTTTATCTGGGTGTATAACTAATACTGCTATGCAAGCTAAAATAGAAGCTAATTAAAATAAAGCCCCTCTTTAAGAGAGATAAGTCTATATTTGCTGTATAGTAAAGCCTTATATTGCATAAATTAGAGGCTAATAAGGCATTTATTAGTAGTGCCTGCAACTAGTAGAATCTAGTCTTCTAGAACCTCTCTATAAAGGTCTAGAAATAGGTTGCTCCTTACTATAAAGTTAGAGCATCTATAGACTACAACCTAACTATATTTCTTAACTACCTAGCTACTATATACTTTAACCTCTATTAATAAGAAACAGCTCTTACTAAATTAGACTAAATATAGTAACGCCTAAATAAAATGTTTGTAGACTTCTTTGTTTAGTTTAAGAACAAAATAGTACTAGCAGGAGGTATAGACTAAACTAATGTAGTTAAGCTAGTAAAGCTCTAATAAGTCTTAAGCAAAGAAATACATAAGGCAATTCTTAGCTAAAATATCTCCTGCACTTTATACTAACTAGTAATTGTAAAGCTGTAATGCTTTACTATAGACTTTAAGTTGTACTACTTAGAGAAGAAGCTTTACAACTAATATAGCAGAAACTAAACTCTCTTAGTAAGTAGTTAGCTCTAGAATAAAGATATACTAATAATAAGCATTAATAAAGTTAATGCAGACTAGGGGCAAGGAGGCAGAGGAGCCTATACTTAATAGAGTGTGCCTTAGAATCTTGCAGGGAGCTAGAGGCAAAGAGCTTAATAAGTAATAAAGGCTGTTTTAGCTAAAAGACAGAAGGTAGAGCAATATTTACGTTATAGCTTAAGTAAATATTATATCTAAAAGTATACTTTATATACGCTAAAACAGCTCTAACTAGCTGCTATAAGATAAGTTGCAATAATAAAGAACTTATTAGAGAATAGTACTACTAAGACTAAGTTAGAAAACAATAAGCCCCTGCAATAAGACTCTTATTAGGAGCATAGCGCTATATAATAACTAATACGCTTACTGCATAAGTAGACTAGACATAAAGGTTAGATAAAACTAATTTAGAAATAAATATAATGCCTTTTCTTATCTCTATTCTAGTTAATAAACTTAAGTTTATTAATGCCTAAGTAGATATAAGCTGTAATTATTATATAGTTATAAGCAAAAAGTATATATAGTAGCGCAGACTGCAGTAAATACTACTAGGGGAGGCGTACTAAATCTATACTATAGTTAAGACTAAGTAAGGCAGTTATTAATAGCGTAAGTTACACTTATTTATATTCTACCTAGTGAGATTCTAGGCAGACGTAAACAGCTAGGAATTCCTAGTTGCTGCCTATATAGTGCTAGAGCTTACTAGAAATATAATACTAGGGCTTCTGTAGATAAAGCGCTATAAGGTAGATATATATATAGCTGCGCAGAAGCTAGTAATTAATGCAGTAGAAGAACTAGTAGTAAAGAGAATAAACTAATGCTAACTTACTCCTTTATTAGTTACTATACTAGGATCTATATACTAGAGTCTTGTCTAATAGGCCTATAAGATAATATAGAACTACTAGTTTGTAGTAATAAGCTTGTTGCGTAAGTTAATATTAATACTATAAGTTTAAGCTATATTTAATACTAAGATAGAAACTAAGCTGCTGCTACTGCTAAATAAGGTCTAGGACTTTAAGGACCTTTTTAACAAAAAGGC